GTCAAAACCTCCCAAAAAGTTGTGGGCAGCCGCCACTCTCTTCCCTATTCCTCGCATTAGCATTATTAGCATTAGCATTATGTCCAACACACCAACCGCAGAGAGACCTAACTTATGACAACCCAAAATCAACAACATGGGAGCGGTGGAGATGAGAGGTGTCGGCGTTCTGGCGATTTACTCGGAAGGCTTCAGTAGAAGCTGCTGGGACTCCCAGCAGCTTCTACTGAAGCCAGTCCCCAACTCCGGGGACTTCCGGCCGGGGACTCCGGGTGGCAGTATACGCCGAGAAGTTGTTTGCGGCCTGCCAGTAAACCCAAAGCAGAAGAAGAAGTTACGTCAGCGGCTTCATTTGCCTAATTTTGTGGGATTTATTCCGGTGTGAACACGATCTGCTCTTTAGTTTAAGTACAGCAAAGTACTTGGTGTGAAAGCGCCTAATGACACCACACATAAATATGCCAAAACAAAAATCAGCAGTACACTTTGCTTGTCGGCAAAAATGTTTTAGCCAAAACCGATAAAAATCCAGTTACGGATTAGTACATTACATTTGGGATGTATCTGGTAACCTGTTGTAGTGTGGATGCTAAGAAACAGCGTGACTTGGCTGCTTCAAATAGATTTAAGAAGCTAAACTAGCAAGCAAAGATGTGTTTTTGTACTGTTAGCATGTCAGATATTCATGTGAGGAAAAACACGAGAACCCTCTTTGTTTTTTGTTATGAAGATTATTTATACGTACTGCATATCCCCCATGAACCAATGAAGTTAGAGTTTAGTGCTCAGTCCTGGCCAACATGTTGCAATTATTACCGATGTTCCCTCAGCTTCCTGGAATATGGGATGTTCCAGAGCAATGGGAAACATCATGGATTTGTACCATTGCATCACTCAGAAATAACACGGAATGTATTTACAAACTTTAACACACCTATTGAGTTAGGAGCTGGTTTTCAGCAAAAGGAGAAAGGTGTTAAAATGGGATCAACAGATGTTCTGTATGGATTTAGAGTCTCACCCACACTTCCTCACCCCCTCGCTACCGTCACCTTTGACCTCAAACTAGTGCTGAGCAAAGCTAGTGTGCATTTGTAATAAAAATGAGACGCACTCAGACGTCGTGTTTTAGATGAGCAGGCATGTAGTGTTTTGTACCACTTGTGTCGTAGATCTAAGATCCAGTTTACATGACTAGAGTACTATTTTACTGAATTTTATATTTATCAGCTGATTGTATCTTATGCTATACATGTACTGCACACATGCATTTGGAGATTCGAAGGAAGTTAATAAAATAAAAAAAGTCAAACCTGTTTTTTCTGTCTTTCTGTTTTCTGCTAATATATTTTAAGAGGAGAAACTAAGGTTTAAAAAAAGATGTATCATCAACTTGAATCTTGTTTTTGATTTGATGTATTTGATAATATGTTTAAGTTATGATGATGATTATGTAGATTATTGGTTTTTTATTTTGTCTCATGTTCATGATATTAAACAGAAAAGCAGGGAATTGTTTGGGGTCAAAAACAGTATGTTATGCTACTTTTGCGTGATGTTAATTCCTTTATCAATCAATGAAATA